CATGAACTTGTGTGTCAACATGTGTCGATAAACACTCGATATGATATGTTTGCTTATGCGAGCTTATGTGATTATGGACGTCATGCGTTTATTTACAAGATATTTTACCATATTGAATTCTTGAGATATTGCAGGTTACGGTAAGTATTTGCTTACTATACGTAGTACGTATATTTTGAAAACTATACTTGTTTTACAGCGATGGGTTATTAGGTTTTCGAAAAGGTTTTTACAAATCTTTATTTTTAGGCTCACTCACCCTTGTTTTTCACCCATCTAGGTTTTAGTGACAATTTTCTTGTCAACGACCATTTCTAGCCAACACTGATATCGAAGACTACTCCTAATGGTATAAGTCTTATTCTAATTTTATTGTACTTTATGTATGCACTGACATCACTTGTGAAATGGGTTCATTCCCGCTCACATGCGCACTCTTGTATTTAAGATCTTTTAAGTTTAAATTTATTCACATTTTCCACATCACTATATTTTATGGCTTCATCACCTTCCTAATGTCGGCTAGCACGACTCGATTCGGAGTCCAGGTGGACATTTTGGGTTGGGGTGTATCATTTAGCGTATTTGTGTTGTACTTGAAAGTACAAACGTGTAGGTGCAAGCAGAATCGAAATCGGAGTTACAGTTAAAATTTTACGAAATTACGAACGTGAAGGGCATTTCGATAATTTCACGTCGCAAGATATTTTTCTGTTTCGTCTTTTGTGGCCTTTTTTTGTGAGCTAGTGGGGCCCACTCTTTACTCTTTTTCCCTCTCTCATGCCTTCCAAATCTCTCGGGTCACTCTCTCTCTAACTCAATTCACTTTATCTCTATCTCTCTCACTTCACACTTTCCCTCTCAGCTCTCTTTCTTCACTATGTAACCCTCCATTCTCTATAAACCAGCAAACTCTCCTTCTCTTAGCTTTGTGCACTGCACGGAAGTGCAGCAACACTGGTCCATCATCACGATCACCACCTCAACGAGTTCTCATGCCACTACATTGCCATGTCTCTCTCTCCCTTACCTGTTTTCTCTCTTCTCACAATCGGTGCATAAACAAAAACAAACCACCGTCGATACCATGATCTCTGGTGAGATCTCTGTTTTCGAGTAGGGGTAAGCCTCGGGACCCCCACTTTCTTCCTTTTTCGTCGTTTAGTATCAAATTTAAGTGTTGTATGTGATTTTGGACTAGTTTAATGGTAGGAAAAACCTCAGAAAGTTTTACCCAATTTTTCGGTGAAGGATCCGATGGCTTTCGAACCATTTTTCGACCAACTCTGGCCACTGTAAGACCTCATGTAGGTATATTTCTCCTTTTTGTACTTCCAGCTTTAAAACCATATATTATGCATTGATTTTGGTTGAGTTTTGAAGCTAATCGGAGCCTTGGAAGTTTCCTAGCCAAATCCCCAGTTTTCTGGCAGGTGCAACGGTAACCAGAAAAGAAAAAAAGAAAAGAAAAGAGAAAAAGTCCTAAACCGGATTCAAGAATTGGCCCAAACGCATGACCCGGATCCATTTAAGAATTAGAGGGAATATTTCGTTAACCTTCCAGTTAACTTTAACAGAATATTTTGTTTGAGAATAGAATATTCTGTTAAAGTTAATTGTTGACCGTTAGTTGACTTTTTTGATATTTTATCGAAAACCCTCCTGGGCTAATTTCGACGCCCCGAGCCCGATTTTGACATCCATTTTGTGAAATTCCGAAGTTTTAACGTAGTTGACCAGCTCGACATCTCGGTTGACTTTTTAGGATTGACTATTGACTTTTTACAAAAATTGCCCGGGACCTTTTCTAGCGTATTTCGATGCCCTGGTTCCAAATCCACAATTCGTTTTCCCAAATTTAATCATTTTTGTTGAGTTTTATTAATCAGTCCCAATATTATGCTTAGTTCGAATGGCTGCACCTCGCAAGTATATGTGATTATGTCTTTTCTTTATATAGTATTTACACTTGTTTAGTTTCCATATATATATATATATAATTATTAATGAATTTTCTACGTGATGTCATAATTAAATTAACGTTTATAAGAAATGTTATATTGTTGAGATTTATGAAATTATACTAATTCCTACGGGATGTACAAGCATGCAAACTATTATGAGATTTCATTTATGGTCATGATTAATATTTTATGAAATAATATTATGTTGACTAGCATTACCGATTTACCATTGTATGACCATATTTACGTTATCTGCTCAACGTGTGCTACACTGGTGTTAGTACTAGACTAGGCCATGGCCAGTCTTTCATTTGTATGTTAACATCGCACCGTACGCTCACTTTGGATCCATTGTAGGTGTCAATCCTGTCCTAGATTGCTATAGGTAATTAGGACTCGTACGTGATGCGCATAACGCTAGTCTTCACATGATTGTAGTATTAGAGCGTAAATCATTATTACACCCAGTCTATTAATTCATGTCAGAAGATCTCTGCATGAACTTGTGTGTCAACATATGTCGATGAGCACTCGATATGATATGTTCGTTTATTCGAGATATTGTGATTACTGGATGTTGAGTATTTATTTACAAAATATTATGAAGTATTGCATTCTTGATGATATTACCATTTACAATAAGTATTTTTATACTATATGTAGTATGCTATGTTTGGAAACTATACTTGTTTTACAGTGACGGGTTATTACATTTTGAAAAGGTTTTACAAAGCTTTATTTTTAGACCCACTCACCTTTATTTTTTGCCCCTCCAGGTTTTAGTACCAGAACTTTTGTGTCAACGACGATTCTTGGCAAATCTTGGTATTAGAGATTACCTTCGATGGTAAAAATCTCATTCTACTTTTTAGTACTTTACTTATACTCTGACATCATGTGTGAAATGGGTTCATTCCTGCTCACAAGCGCACTCTTGCATTTAGGCACTTTTAGGTTTAAATTTACTCATATTTTTCACATCACTACACTTTATGGCTTCGTCACCCTTCTGGTGTCGGCCATTACAGCTCAATTCAAAGTCCAAATGAATATTCTAGGTTGGAGTGTGTCAACCCACCCTTTCCCCTTACTATAAATAATAACGTATTTAAAAAAAAAAAAAATTCTTTCGAGTAAGAGTTGCTGGCCAACCAATGATCCAATTTTGCATAAACAAATCTGATTAATTCATAGTGACAAAAAAATAAACATGAAATTATACTATTTTGTTGGAGAAAAAGTGCTCACTGCCAGCAATGCAATCTTTTTCATTAATTTTATTTTTATTCAACGAGGTCATTAATCATAATTTGGTTGTCCTATTTTTTTTTATTTTTTTTAACAACTATAGTAAGGTAGGTTAAGCCTTACATTGGGTTAGCAATCTACACTAAGATAGAGAAGGTAGGCTAAGCCTCACAATGGGTTAGCAATAATGTGGTTCAAATTCGTCTTTGGCGATAATTGAACCTAAGACCTCTCACTTATAAGTGAAGAGGAATACCACTAAACTACAGTACTAAATCACGAATTTGGTCGTGCTTGAATATGATTTAAAATTGTTGCTACTGTTCTGTGGTTAAGACATATTTTTGAGGTGGGTCACTGACTCAATTGGGTCTGTGTAGTGGTTCATTAACAGCCCAAGCCTCTCAAAGAAGCCCATACTTTCGTGAATTGGGTTGGTCTTATAGAAACAAAAAACTTATACAATCATTGGGAGCAAATAGTTTTTTTTTTTTAATTTTTCTTTCTTTCTAAAAATGGACCAATTGATGGCTTGCCATGGAAGTCTATTTTTTTGGGAGTTGGGAAGACTTACGGAGGCATTTCAGCCTTCTCCTGGCTACCATCGTTCGATTCACCAGTGCTAGAAATCGAATCTAAAACGTACTGTGTGGAATACGGGTCTGGAATTCATTTGGAGCAAATAGTTGACACTCCAAGAGATTTTCCTACTGGACATTTAAGTTACAGATTTAATAAGAATCGTTAGATCATTACACCTAATGGGTTCTAATGGCTCTTGTTCTGATTTGTAACTTAAATATGCACTTTTGATATGCTCTATGGAACACACCACTCTTCTTTCTCTCACACATATTCAACATGCTCTTAAAGCTTCGCTCACCCGAGCACCTGGATTGTGTGCATGGTTTGTGCAAGACCTGGGTAGATAGTACATTAACAGCGTATCCCTATGATGTTGATGGTATATAAATAGTGTATCGTCATTACAGTGGAGATACATTGTTTTGACATGTTCACAACCTAGGTGTCTAGATGAACATTTCTATATTCTCTTATACTAATCGTTTTTTAACACAAGATATAACTTAATTATTTCAATTGAATTGAATAATAATTCAACTTTCTAGAGTGAACTAGTATGATTAAACTGAGTAACATTTATATAACATTAATCATGACCTAACCTCTTTAGTATTTAGACTATCTTTCAAGTATGTGTATCTTGGCAAATTCAAAATATCCTTTATGATTAGGGTAAAATTATAGTTTGCACCCTTAAATTTGGGTGCAATTACAACTCCATACCTCAAATTTAAAACATTGCAATGTCATATACAAATTTACAAATTCTTGATCTAATGGCATTATGAGTCATTCTGGTCGAGGTAGCTAATATCTAAATGACTCATATGTCAAACCCCTTTAAATTAAACTTACATATTATCTCGGTCTTGCCCAAACATTATAATTAATTACGTGATAAAAAAGATAAGCATATAGTTGCACACAACTTGTGGCATCCAAGAATCTCAAAATTTAGCATCTTTGCTTATTCATTTCAATGACAAGAAAATAAGGCAATTGAAGCAAAAGAGAGATTATTTTGTTTTGAGCTTTGACAAAAAGAGACCTCAAACGTGGATTTCAGATAGGGAACTAACCAATCAAGATGGTTTAATCTGCCACGTGTCAAGCTCTCCCAATGAACTGAGGAAGGGATACAACCCTCCGAGATAACGAACCAACACACACCCAACACTTCGAGAGAAACAAAATCATTGCCAGCAACAGAAGCAATCAACCAAGGCTACCAAGTCAAGCAGCTGACGATACGACTCAGTTCTAATGGCAGCGACAGCCTCATCCATGGCGGCCACCGCCGTCTTCATACCACGCTTTCCCATCAAACCCACCCGCTGCTCCGCTTTGCCTTACCTCCCTCCTCGCCTCTCCTCCCCTTCTTCCTTCCCTCTTAAATCCTTCTCAGGTGAGCTACTTCTCAAGCTTGTATTTTTAAGTTTATTTCTTAACAAATTATGTTATTTTTTGTGGTTTTTATGTGTGTTCTTTTACTTGCTTTTTTGGGTTGCTGAGAAAATGTGGGTGGGAGGGAAATTTTTTTGTGATTTTTTATTTATTTTGGTAATATCTGTTATGTGGGTGTCAATGGAATTATCTGCTAGTTGCAGTTGACTTGTGCATATCAAGTATTTTCCCTGCGTTTAGTTGTTAATGGTTTTGTGAATTGAAGTAATTCATGAAGGAAGAATTTTGTTCTGTTGTTTTCCTGCATTTCTCAAGCTAATAGATGTAGAGGAAAGGTAAGGTTCTGGTTCTGGTTCTTAACGCAGAGGTTTTGAACCTTGCTGTTTTGATATTTTGAAAGTTGGGTGTTGATTGAAACGAAGATAACTGTCCTGCATTCCTGTGCTAATATACGTCATAGACGGGAAATTAAGGTATGCAGAAATTACGAGAAGGAATGAATGTATCTTAGTTGGTTAAGTTGGATCATTGCGGTAGTAACTTCTAACTTTAGAATGGGGCTCCAAGATTCCGACTTTAGTTTCATATGGAACTAGTCTCAGTAGATTTTATGGGTGGGAATGACGAGTGTCAGAGTTTTTGGATTTTAACACGTATTTTATGTATCTAAGCATTTAGGCTTATAGCTGATTTGGTGCATTGACTGCATTCCAAGTAAATGAACTTAAAAGCGTTGTTTTTTGCTTCCATGCTCCAATTCCACTTCAATACCTTTCATAGCCTTGATCAGTTAATTGGTAAGAGAAGGGAACCTTAGTGCTCAAAGCGTGAGGGCAAATAACACGGTCACAGCCAAGTTGACATGTCAGGTTTCTTTGATAGTTGTTGATATAGGTGGTGGGACTCAACTCAGGTACGCCGTTCTGTGAAAAGGCAACAGTCATAGTCTCATAGAGTAGAGTAGGAATTGGCCAATCTCATATATTGCTCGAAATTTGCTGCAACTCTAGAGCACATATATGCAATCCAAGACACGCAAACGAAGATGATATTTAAAAGACTTTTGGGGTGTGAATTTTTCACTTTTTGGTTTGGCAGACCGTTTGAAAATAAAAATCATTGCTTAAGCTTTTAGAGCAGACCATTGTTATCCTTAGTTTTTTCTTTTACTTAATTGGTTTCACTGTCTATTGGAAACTGAGTTTGATTTCTTATTTTTTTAATTTGTCTCTTTATATAAACTGTTAAGAATGTATTAACTATAAGCTTAAGCAAAGATTGTTATTCTTTCAAAGGGTCCCGGAGGCTTTCTCTTCAGGTCAGAGCTTCATCTTCAGAAGAGACATCCACATCCGTCGACACTAATGAACTTATATCAGACTTGAAGGAGAAGGTATGAAAAGCTTTTTGTTCCCCTTTGTGTTGAATCTTATGATAATCATTTCTATGTTTCTTCTACTTACTGCCATTTTGTTTGGACTTTTCTTGCTGAAGTGAATCCAATAGTTGGTTTAAAAATGATTTCCTGTATGTTCTCCTTCCCAGTGGGATGCAGTTGAAAACAAGTCTACAGTACTTCTGTATGGCGGTGGGGCGATAGTCACTGTGTGGTTGTCCTCAATAATTGTTGGTGCCGTCAATTCAGTGCCACTTGTGAGTGATTTCTTTGGAAACCACATACCTCTAGGTTTTTCAGTTTTGAAATGGAAAGTGATGAATCTATTTTTCAAGTTACAACTTTGTCCATGTCGTTGATTTATCTCCTCTTTAGAAATTAATTGAACTACTCTGAATTGACTTTCAGCTTCCAAAGGTCCTGGAGTTGGTAGGGCTAGGATACACTGGATGGTTTGTCTACCGTTACCTACTCTTCAAGGTGAGTCTAAAATTCCCGACTTAAAGTTTGAGTTATCGCTGTTTTCTTCAAGCACGATGCATTCCTTTACAAGAAATAAGATCTGCTTTTCGTTTCATATTCGCCCCCTTAATAGGATCTCGTACACACTGGATGATCACGTCATTCACGCAATGCCCCCGTCCATCCATCAATGATTTTAATGGCTAGAACAACATATTTGCTTTCTGTATCTGCGCACTCGATAATTCTAACAAGTGCTATTTGTGTTTGGTATCACCCTCAGTCAAGCAGAAAAGAACTAGCTACAGACATTGAGGCACTGAAGAAGAAGATTGCCGGAACTGAATAGATCCGTATGACGCGGTGGCAAACTTCAAGCACATTTATCGTCGACATCCTTTCGTTTTGATTCATGTACGTCCACTGTAAGAGGCATTTGTATCCTGTAATCTAAAATAGGTTTATAATATTTGAACTATTGTTGTAGTCATGTTAATGTACTACCATCCTTCATCTTTGGAATAAGATTTGGCAATTTTATGTCAGTTGGTCTATCGGAATCGGCTCTTGCACTTTTAACCATATCCGAAACCATATTCGAATAATATTTCCAAAACCATATCCGAAACAATATGTATTAATGGGGTCGGTTACGAATTAGAGACCACTATTACTATACCCGAAACCATAACCTAATAATATTCCTAGTTTTTTCCCATATCTGAAATATAACCAAATTTCATCCCAAATATGTTTCATGCTAGCAGTTATCCACAGTTATCGAGTTTAACGGTTTGAATTGCCATTCCCACATGACCGCTAAAGCGCCACCATACCATGATTTGGATTACTTTTGGACTTCGCCTAATTTGGATACCTTAAATACATGATAATCACGATTAACTGAGAATGGAAAAGTAAATAGTTGTAATCATGTTTAAGCCCTCAACCGGAGAGGGCTAAATGGTGGCTAGTTATTACAATGCCTTGTCCAAGTTAGGACAAGGATGGTAAAAAGCAAACACATAAAAGCAAAACGAAAATTAAACTTGTGCTTCGACAATCGGCTTGACAGACAAGTCACTGTTTGATGGTAAGCTCCGCTCTAAGATGGAGGACGCCGTTTATGAAGAAAAGACTATCATCGGCCATGAAGGAAGTCCATGGTATGGCGAATAAGTTACGGTAGCCAACTGCCTTGCCCCCGGTAAATGTGTAGTTGCCTTTGTATTTGCTGATAAATTCCTCAGTTGGCTTTGATCTCGCCGCAAACTCGTAGTCCACTGCAAAACTTACTGACCCTTTTTCCTGCATCCCCAAAAACAGGCCAAAACAATGGAAAGAACTCTGCTGGTCCATGTTGCAATGCGCAGAGAGGAAGAACCCTTGCCCGCCCAAGTGAAATGCCTGAGAATAAACCCGTCCAGATGGGAATAAATTTGCACACTCTTCCCGCTTCAAGTCCAGGTACACCACACACTGCTGTCTCGGAAGATCAAATTCTACCACCTTAACAGGGCGATACTTGTATGCCCGCTCCACAAACCGACGATTCAAGGTAGCTGACTCCTCTGCTGCAAGAATTCGCTGCCTGTGTGGAGCCTCAGCTTTGAAGAAAAGGGCCTCAAGGACAAGCTTGGATGCAGCTTCGTGGTCAAAATCATTACAGGTTAAGACCTTTTTTAGCTTTCGACAAGTCATGTATGGGAAGCGAATGTAGCGTGCAAGACGAGCACCCAAGATGTCTCGCCTTTCCTCCAACTTAGGGTAGTGAGTCCTAGACCATTTCAACACAAAGTCATATACAGCATCCTCTGATGCAACCTGGAGTTCATCACTGGATATAATTGCCTCTATTCCAGCTAGGGGTAAGGCCATCACCTCTTCGAAAAACCTGGTTGAAAGAACCAACTGTCAAAAATATATCTCCTAAATTTCAAACAACTTTAATGAACAAGAACTTAGTCAGATCAAGTTCAAATATGAGTCACACAGAAATTTACTTGCTTATGTCCTTGTAACGGACAGCGAGGTGCTGCTTTGCTGCATCAGTCAATGCCAGGACTGCTTCAGCCATTAAGACACTTGAAGGAAGCTCTAGGTAAAGCAATGCAGATTCAGGTGTCATCGGCATATTCCTCAGTAGCCGACTGCAATACCTCATGCATGAAGCAACCTCAAATTTGTCAGCAGCCATCAACACATCTAGTAGAGCAGGAGCTGTGGTGGTGGACAAGGTATTGCTGTACATAAAATTTAGGAGCTCCATGACAGCAGCTTCTTCTGCACTCAGGGAAACAAAACGACACTTGTTAGGTAACTTCTTCATGGTCAACTCGTAAAGTAGTAGTTTCCATGGAAGGAAACATTTCAGGGGACAGTAAGCTTCTAATATTTGTTCTTACCGGACGCATTGATTCGCAAGGTTACATGTCGCTGTTCAGACTCCCTCATCCCATTTGAAAAGAGCTGCATAATAATACAAAAGGAGGGCAATGAGAAAAACTATCCACTGACAATAACGAGCAAATATACAGGAACAGATAAAACCAGAGGACAATTACCTTATAGAAAAATGGACTCTTGGCTGCCAAAATTGGAGAGCTAATGTGCAATGTTTTAACTCTCACAACTGTAGAACAATCCATTCCCCAATCTGAATCATTGCTGTTTGCAGCTTCATCCCCTATAAGAATATTCATTCAAGCTTGGAACGCTTAAAACATGACACCACTAGAATTACAAAGCAGATCTCTTAATATGGCCGCAAAGATGACTCACAGCAAGACAAGGATATGACATAATGAAATTGTAAGCGCTCATTAGATAGTATCAGGGTTTCACCTCAGATAATATTATTCTCATAAATTTACAGCATTCTCGCTCAGAATCCTTAGAGATGCAATAGATAAAAAAGAATTATGTCGAAGCCATTATTATTTTATTCATACGACTTTCTTTAGAGCTCAAGGACACAGAGGAATGTGCATATGGGAGATCCTACTCAATTAAGCCCGTCTTCTTATGTGCTTTATAAACTTCACTTAAGAAACATTCGGTTACCTGAAGGTGACTCTTCAACCATTGCAACTGCTTCCTCATCTTGATTTTCACAGCCCTCACAATCATCCATATCAGGCTGGTTGTCATTCAAGATTTGCTCCTCGGGGCATTCAGCGAGATCCAGAACTGAACAAAATTTAAAACTTTAACCAACATTGCCATAACACCACATCATGTGCATAAACAAAATGCATGGGAAGTGAGAATCATGCAGGTGATGAAGAATATCCAGATAACAGAAACCACAATCCCAAACAATCAAGGGAAAAACAAACCAACAGGGAAACGGAAATTATACCTTCTTGTCCACAAATCACAATCGAATAATACATGGAAACGCCAAGTTGAATACATGTCGGCCAAAAAAGTGTTGAAGAAATCAAGTATAAATTTTAAATTGAAGTCCCAGGTCAAACCAAGTAAGTCCTATGCAGTCATATGGCTCCGCAAAGTGAAATACCTTGATTACTTATGAGGCGTACAATATACGAAGTATCACCCGAATTTCATATGAAACTCCCCTTCTTCCGTTTCATTTCCACAATTTTCTCAGCAACCAAACAAACAAAATAGAGTAATGTAACGGACTCAATCAAAAGTTGCCCCCAAATATTTGCATTTGAAATTTAAGTACAATTATTAGGGAATAACCAATATCAATATCATAATAATAATTTCACTTCTATGATAAATAAACACCAAATTACTAAGCTTTTCAGCTGAACAAGCAACAAACAGTTTCAAAGTAATCCCCAATTCGAAATCCTAAAACCCCAAATGTTCAAACTTTCCCTAATTTCTCGGAAACCAAACAAAACCCATCAAAATTCAAAACTCGAATTGAAAAATCCAAAGAGAACATACTGTTTTCCTTCTTGATGTCTTCTCTCCTCCGCTTCCGGTGACGGGCCCAATCAGCAATACTGGTGCAGGCCTCGGAATCGGGTCTGGACTCGGGTGTGTCACCCATGATCTCGATCCGAAGCAGACGGTCGGAGAAGTTACTATCGTTAAAGGCGAAGCCGAAATCGTCGCCGTCAGCGTCGGCCGACGGCGTCACGGCCCGCGAGAAGTCGGGTTCCATCAGCGTAGTTCTCGGGTCGAATAGATCCGTATTCAATTCCTTCATGATTCAACCCCCACGAGCTAAAGCCCCACAGAAGAAGACGACCCGAAGAGGGTCTGAGGTGGCAGAATCTGGGAGTAGGTAGGACGGAGTTTGGCTGGTGGCGGTAGGTGACGGGAAGAGGAGGAGCAGAGAAATGGAATGAATGAGAAATGATGAGGATGAGATGAGGAGGGAGAGGGTCATAAAGTCGTGATGATAAAACTGAAGCGGTAGACGACCCTTCTCTCTCTCCTCTCTCTCTCTTCAAACTTTCTCTGTGTTTGTCTCTCTCCCTTAACCTTCTTTTGTGCGCTGCTTTGGTTTTGTTTGTTACTGTTTACTGAAATTTCTGTCAATTGGGTTGGTGCATCTGACTTGGATTTTATTGTGCAGCTTCTGTTTTTAACCTCTTTTAGGTAATTAAATAGCAATTAGCAAGGTAAACATATGTAATTAGGGGTTGTGACAGGTCAATTAAGGTGGCCACATATGCTATGTGTAAAATATTTACTCATTCAAAAGCTTATCCCAATTTTTGGGTATTTTCATATCCTTCATTACCTTATTTGTTGAGTACTAATTCCACTTTAAACTTTGTTTCTTGCATACATGCCTAATAACAAATTGGGTTTCTTTGGATTCGTTTCACACGGGTAAAATTCTGATAAGACCAAACTTAACGAGTGAATATGTGTAAACTAAATCATATCACTGAATGAAGTTAAAAGAGTTGGTAACATATGGATAGATTCATATCATGATAACAAGTGGTGCATAAGAGGTTGTGGTGTGTAACTTCGTTGTTTGGAATTTGGATAATAAACGTACTTTTTTGTTTGCTAATGAATTGTAATTACTATATTAAGGGGTTCTCAAGAGGGTAAAAGGATAAAAGAGAATATAGTTAAGTTTTGCTACAGCAGATATGTAGAGAATATTAGTTAAGGAAAAGCTGTAAATTAGTAGAGTAATAGTTTAATAAAAGATTTGATAACATAACTACAGACAATTAATTGATAAAAACAAAATACAGACAGTTACTGAGATGTCTACACGGTAAGAAATACATATTAAACAAAATTAGTGTAAAAATAAGGGTGTTTTACGCAAACAAAACACCCAAGGAAGGAAAACTAGTAAAAACATGTATATGGGCTAACTGCATTTTACACCCTATATGGGTAATTTAAAAATAAAAATCATGAGATTTAATTTTCTTACATTGCACATTGCGGTCCTGTTTGGTAAATCGGATAAAGGATCGGATAAGATTAGTTATACGGACCCGGGTGTTTGGCGTTCACTCGTACTAAATAAGCACCGGATTAATTTAACCGGTCGGATAAGATAATACGGTACACACCCGCTTAATAA